AATTTAGAGAGTAAATTATATAATAAAAATTTGTATAAAATTTTTGCAACGGTTTTCAAATCTAAATTGCGTAGTCTTATTTATAAGTTTTAATTTTGTATTTCTTTTTTTGTAAGGGCTTTTTAGCATGTTAAATCAAATAAGTATAAAAATTAAAATAAAAATATTTAAAAGACGAAGAAGAAACATATCATTGAATATATAGATTTGACAGATGAAAAGAAAAACTAGATGATTTGCATGAAGTGAACGATCAAAGAAAAACTCGTCACGATGCATAAGGAAGTGTAATTTTTTTTTTTTTTTTTTTTTTTTGCCTTTAAGAAGAGATCTAAAGATTGGCAGTTCATCTGAGAAGGAACGAAATTGCCATCAAGAATTCTGTATGTGTGCCTCGGTATCAATACAAAGGACTCCTTGTTAGTGGCAGTTGAGTTTTGCTCTGACATGATTTGAAAAGACGTTTTATGCGGCACACCCGAATTATAAATATAAGTGCACACAATATCGCCGCGCGAGTCTTTGACCTCCTCTGCTCCCACTATTTTGCCACAACTTGGTCTTAGGGTCGTCGGAAAAGTTTGACTGACGCCAATTTATTTGCGCCTCTTATCAATTTTATAATATCAAAGAGGAAATCGTCTTCTCGACTTTTGGCCTCTCTTTAATTTTCTCTCTCTATCTCTCTCTCTCTCTTTCTTTTCATTATCTTTGTATGATTTTTCTCTTCAACTTGAGAAAAGATCTCTCATCGAAATTCCAAGTGAAAAAAAAAAAAAAAAAAATCAAACCAATCGTTGATGCGAGGTCGAGAAAAACTGGTCAGTTATTCACGTGTGTTGGTTGCCGATAGCGGACTTGTCCCTTAATTAATATTCAGATAAGCGGAAAAATAAGAACAAACTGGAAAAAAAGTAGATGAAGAAGAAGCGAGCCTTGCCATTTATAGTTTAATAAAAATTATGTTGTAAATTTATATACGTAGGTCGTTGAAAAATTCTGATTGATGTGTAAGATTGATATCAACATGTTTTTTTTTCTGTCCTTTGATATTATTTTCCATTTTTTTTTATATCCGAATTAAATTATTTGGATTTAAATTTAATTATAATTACTTGTTTCTTTAATTTACATAAAATAATAAAAAGAAACATGAGTATAAATAAATGTTTATATGTGACGCTTTCTAAGAAGCAAAAAAATTTTAGGTTATGTTTATCATAGTTTTACTTTTATGAAAATAGTTGTTTTTTAATTGTAATTCAATTTAATGTAAATTAAAAATTATTATTAATAATAATAATAATAATAATAATAAAATAAAACAAAAAAAATAAATAATAAAATGTAGCAATATATTAAAAAACAACAGAAATACAATTTTCTGATGTAATTTATTAATTATTTTCTATTTTATTTTTTAATGTCTGGTTTCTATAAATCAAAAAAAAACGATTTTTTTTATTTTATTTATTTTATGAAAGAAAAAATTGAAAAAAGGCAAAAATACTAGTTTTTAATTAATTTCTTTAGTGTAAATTAAATATTTCATAAAATTGCGTAGCAATATCATTTCTTATTGGTCCAGTTTTTATGATGAATGAAAATTGTTTTAAAATATAAACTCGGCTTCAAGTAGTTAAATGTTTTTATGATAAATACTAATATGCACTTAATGATTTGACATAAAACGTCGTTCGATATCAATTTCGCAGGTACCTGTAATTTTGCGTCATCATTATATGATCAATAAGACAAGTGAAATAATTTTCATTATATAGCTCGAAGATTTTTTTTCTCAGACAATAAAATCACTTGAATTTTAATTATTTTAATTAAATAAAAATTTCATAATATTAAAATAATTTAATTTTATTATTTATTTAAATCATTCTTATTTATTTATATTTATTATTTCTTTAAATTTTGTCATTTAATTGAACTTAAATTTTATTATTTTTCTGCCCATTAAAATTTAATTAATCTTTATTAACTTTTACAATAATATTTTCTCCTTATAATTTTTTATTTCTACTTTTTAAATTTCTTTTACTTATTGTTACATAACAGTAATTAAATATAAAATTTCTTTTTATTTTTTATTATACTTTTATTTATTTTTTTAGTTGTCTAATTGAAACTAAAAAAATCATTATTTGTATATCTTTTCTTAATTGAATTGAAATTATAATTAATTCGTTAATAAATAATTTTCTAACATAAAAAAAAATAATTAACATTGAATTCGACATCAAAAAAGTGAAATAAAATTTGCAAATAAATATTTAATATAAAACGGACTAAATAAAATAGATTCCTTAATATCACGCTGAGATTCGCGTGAATTTAAAAAAAAAAGTTGTGTTATCAAAAGTGATACAAGATAAATGCGCGGAGATTTTTCGTTTCTCGGACACTCATATATGTCATTGAAAAATCAAGGACTTTGCCTTTTATCGATATTGAGCTCGCGCTTGAAATCTCTTTTTCGAGTATAGTAATTAGTTCTTACGTATATATATATATTTTTTTCTCCACGTGAATCTATGCGACTCGCCCGATTTGTACAAAAATAGTCAACGACACAAATGTAACCCTCGAAAACACAAACTTTACTATATAAGGCCAGGGTTCGAAAGTGCTTCGAACTTTTCATAATTCTTATAACAAACCACAATGACCTCAGAGGTCTTTGATTATTATTTATTCCAAAAGAAAAAATAAATCAAATACACTATAATTTCATTTATTAAAATAATTTCAATTATTTTTCGCGTTAACAAATTTTGATATTTCAATTTTATTAAATTTACTTCAAAATTGCGAATTTAGATCAAAAATTATATAACTTTTTATTATTCTTGATTGATTTTTTTTTTATAATCATTTTTTTCTTTTATAATCTGATAATAATTGATAAAATTTCTTACGGTAAACAAAGTTTAGTTGAAAAAAAAGGAAATTTTTTTTTTCTCGGGAACGCAAAAAAAAAAGATTTTTACCTCTTAAAATAAATTTTCGTGCAAACTCACGCATTTTAAGATAGCGTTATTATTTTGATAAGACATTATCGACTACTCGGCAGTTGAGAGCACGGCCCTCCCGCACCAGTCAATATAGCCGGCAAAAGATAAAGCTTGTTTTCAACAAATTAATCTTTTCCCTTTCCTCGCACGACTTTTCGATAGAGAGAGAGAGAGAAAAAAAAATGCCTATCTGCTTGACACTGCAGTGGCTTCATTTTGCTACGAAATTTTCGATCCTTGGATTAAATATATATATATATATATTTATAAACTTCAATGTCAAAAGAAACATCTCTTATCATTCGATAATTCTCCAATTTTTCTTTTCCACCATTCATTGCGCAGAAGTATTTAATTTAATTTTTATTACATATATTTATATTAAGATTACATAATAATTTATTGGAAAAATCAATCAAAATTTGCATTTTAAAAAAATTTTAATTTTATATTTAAATTAGAATTATTTTAGAAAATTAATTTTTTTTACTACTAATTAGTTAGGTTTAACTAATTAGTTAATAAATTGAAATTAGTAAAGTTTAACTAATTTATAGTTAAATTTAATAATAATAGAACACAGAAAAAACGCTGGGTAAATTTTGTTGCGGGTAATTTTAACCAATGCTAATTCACATAGACGGTGGCGCCCTCAACTAGGATAAAATTTGTTGCAAGTAATTTTTATACTGATTTTGGGGTAAAAATTCTTTTTTTTTCGTGTGAATTAAATTATTACACGGCGGAATAAAACCTCCACCTGATACATCGAAAAGTTTTACTGAAACAGCGATATATTTCAGTAAAACAGCAAAAGTTTTCGCTATTCTAGAGAAACATATCGTTGTTCCTGATTAAAATTTTTCCCGAGTATTAAATTTAATATTATTATTGTTATGAATAATTTAACTATATTAAAATTAGATACCTTTAAATTAGTAAAATTTAACTAATTCAAAAGCAAAAAGTGAGTCACTAATTCAAATTATTTAAAATTTTTTTATAATTCTGCTTTAGAAAGCATTTGAATATTATTATTATTATTATTAAATTTAAATTAGTTAAATATATAATTAATTTGGTAATAAAAAGTTAGTTACCGATTCAAATAGTAATATTTCTTCTAATTTTTTAGTTAAAAATAACCAATTATTAGTTAAATTCACTTTTAGGTTATGTCGAAATACTAAAAATAGCTGGTAACTAAATTTTGAGGTTATGTTCGTTTCAAGGCTCTGAATATAGCCGCCAGCCCCCCTCCCTCCTCTCATTTCCCCTCCTCCGCCAAAATGGCCTAAATTTTAAGGTTATGTTCGTTTCAAGACTCTGAATATAGCCGCAAGCCCCCTCCCCCGCCAGAAATGACCTAAATTTTGAGGTTATGTTCGTTTCAAGGCTCTGAATATAGCCGCAAGTCCCCCCCTCCCTCCTCTCATTTCCCTTCCTCCGCCAAAAATGACCTAAATTTTGAGGTTATATTTGTTTTAAGACCCTAATAAAGCAGTAAGTCCTTCCCCCTTCCCTCATCTCTCTCTGTATTTCCTGCCAAAAATGACATAAATTTTAAGGTTATATAAATTTTAAGACTTTCAATATAGCCGCAAGTGGAGGTGGAGTTCCCGCCAAAAATGACTTGAATTTAAAGGTTATGTTCGTTTCAAGACTTTTTAATAATTTATTGGTTTTTAGGCAAATTTCATTGAAATTATTTTTAAAAATAATTTCTTAATGTCGATTTTAATTTATTTAATTATTTATTTATTATTAATTTAATTAATTTATTAATTAAAATTTAATAATTTTAATTTTAATATTTATTCAGATTTCAATGAATTTGTAATAATAATTCTTTGAAATAGGTGGTTCATTTGGAAAAATAAGATCAATGGAAAATTAAAAAAAAATGATTAAAACCGGGGGGGTTGGCGCGCGAAGCGCTCAGGGGGGCGTAGCCCCTCTAGTATATATATATACCATTTCACATATATAATTCGCTTTACAACGAAAACCGTGTCCCTCTGAGAGCAATAATACTCGAATTTCTTGAAAGTTGCCGCACGAGTGATAATAAAGGACAAGCGCAATAACAAAGCACTTTAATGGTGAATTTCTGGCGAGCAAACCCCACTACCAAAGATAATGTTCTCAGTTAGCCATTAAAAAAAATGTTATACACACTCTTGAATGCGCTCTTGAAAATAATCTGCGAGTCATTTGCGACAATAAATCGACTTTCAGTCAAGTCGTCCAATAATGCAGAGAGAGCCCGTATTCAAGTCGCTATGAATGCGCGCGTTCGAGTCTTGTATATATTGTTGGCAAGGGAAAAACCTATATATATATATATATATACAGGTGACTAAAACCATCGAGCGTCGCTTTAATCGAAGACCATTTGCCCATTTAGATGGGAGATAAGAGGTTTGCGCTTAATGCACATACGTGTAATTTCAATATAAGATTGGCAAGAGAGGGAAAGAACCGCTAATGAACCGTCGAATATAATATACACTATGCGACAATGAGAAAGTCATGAACTGCCGAACAAATAAGACGTTAGCCGCGTGTTACGTGAGCATATAGACATATATATATATATATATTTTTTCCCAACTGAATTTTATAATTATTTTTTAAATACGAAACAAATACAAACAAATTTCAACATATTTTTCATAGATTCTAAATTTAAATTAGTGAGAATTTGTTCACTACTACTATATTCACGCTGCTATGTCAAGAACGTAAAAGTAGCAAAAAATTGTCTATATTCACGCCGTTTATTTAGGAACGTGAATGTATCCAAAATTAGCTATATTCACGCCGTTTATTAAGGGACGTGAACGTATCCAAAATTAGCTATATTCAAGCCGTTTATTTAGGGACGTGAACGTATCTAAAATTAGCTATATTCACGTCGTTTATTTAGGGACGTGTACGTAGTCAAAATTTGTTATGTTCACGCTGCTGAGCCAAAGTAAAACGTAGCCAAAGTATATTCCTTCCTTAAGGCCAGGTCCAAGTCGTGTCAGCTGTTCCATTGAAACTTCAAAGGAACAGCTGACTCGACTTGGACCTGGCCTTAAAATTTTCCCTATTTCTCCCCTCTTGGAGTTTTCAAGACGTGAATAAAGCTGAAAATATGCACTATCGGCTATATTCATAGTCAAAATCGACTATCTTCACGTCTTGAAAAGTCAAGAGGGGGGAAAAAAGAGTTCAGTCACGTGAATACAGACAATTTGGCTATATTCACGTCCCTGACTCAGCAGCGTGAATACAGCAAAAAAAATGTCTATATTCACGCCGTTTATGTAAGAACGTGAACGTATACTCAAAATTTGCTATATTCACGCTGCAGAGTTAGGGACGTGTACGTAGTCAAAATCGACTATATTTATGTCTTGAAAAGTCAAGAGGAGGGAAAAAAGAGTTCAGTCACGTGAATACAGACAATTTGGCTACATTCACGTCTTTGTTTCACTTTCCACTAATATAAAATTATTTCGCCGATATTGTTGGGTCAGGGACGTGAACGTAGCCAAATCGACTGTATTCACACCGCTAAGTTAGAGACGTGGACGTAGCCAAAATCTATTATATTCCCGTGTTGAAAACCTACCACTTTTTTCCCTCCTCTTGACGATCTTTCAAAACGTGAATATAGTCGATTTTAGCTACGTAAACGTCTCTGACTCAGCGGCGTGAATATAGACAATTTTGGCTACCTTCACGTCTTTGAATAAGCGGTGTGAATATAGCCAAATTTGGCTACGTTACGTCTCTGAATAAGGGAGGTAAATATAGCCAATTTTGGCTACGTTCACGTTTCTGAATAAGTGGTGTGAATTTAGCTAATTTTTACTATGTTAACGTCCGTGAAAGAACGGCGTGAATATAGCCGATAGTGCATATTTTCGGCTTTATTCATGTCTTGAAAACTCCAAGAGGGGAAGAATAGGGAAAATTTTAAGGAAGGAATATACTTTGGCTATACGTTCACGTCCCTGAGTCTATATATAGAGAAATAATTAATAATTAATTTTGAAAAGAGGTGAAAAAAGTTTAACAAGCACAAAATCTGTGATATACTGAAAATTTTATATTTCTCTTTCAGAAATCATAAGATCAATTTAATATATAATTTAACCCACATTTTACACACATACAAAAAAAGCAATACGCTCTGATAAAAAAAGCAAATTACAAAATCATGAAAATTTCCTCGATGAGGAAAACCGTATTCCGAATGGAAATTTAAAAATTGTATATACGATTTTAAAAAAAGCGATCGTGTATTAATCAGATGATTTAATAACAAAAATGTTGAAATCGTCTATAAGGGAGACAGAGTCTCTCTCTCTCTCTCTCTCTCTCTCTCTCGGAATACTTGAAGCATAAATGTAATTTTCATGAAACCTGATGGCAAAACGTCAATTGCCAAAGGCAAAATTTAAACCCAAATCGAAAACATTCGATTAGGATCCCATCGAATCTGTAATTTTAATACACAGACAAGTCGTGTGATTTGATCAAAGCAAATCAATTTCAATTGAATGTTCTCCGAAAATTATCCAATAAGATTCGACTGCTTTTCGGATCAAGATGAATTCATAAGGATATATAATTCCTCTTGCATTCTTATTTGATTATTAACGTCAAACCATTTTGTAGACGAAATCAATCGATTTCTCTCTTTATATATATATATATATATATATATATATTAGTGAAATTCGATTAATCAATGTTATATTAATTAAAAATTAGCTCCCATTGAAATTCGTCAAGTAACGAGCTTCGACAGCAATCAACCTCTGGCAAGGTATATTTATATCTAACCTATACATATATAAACCGAAAAAAAAACCGCACCACTTTAGTTATACCTCCTATATATATATATATACATTCTTCAAGTTTTTACCTCTCTCGTGTGCCCGCGCGCGATAAAAGAAAAACGAAGACAATTTATCCGTTGAGACATTATTTGCTCCTGTCAAATTGAATTCCACTTCTAATCATTTATTCCTCGTTTGTGATGAATAAAATGCAAATTTTTTTACAATCTTTTTTCATTGGTCGCTCTTTTTAATGCAGATTTTGTCAATTTTAATAAAACTTGTCAAATGCATTAAGAGATGTGTATATCTTTACAATAAGAAGTATATATACTTTTCAAGATTTTATAATTTATTATATTTATATTTATTATAAAAATTATAGTAGGGTCAGTTAGGGTAAATGGGGACAAAATCGCTATTTTTCACAAATTACGTAAGTTTCTTCCTCTAAAAGGTTAAATATTTGCGGGTTTATTTTTTTAAGTTGTTATTTACGTTCCTAGGATTAATTTTATGCAGCAGAAAAAATTTAGATAAGCTTTAAACGCATGAAACTAACTGTCCCCATTTACCCCAAAATTTAGAAAATTTTATAAAATTTGGGGTAAATGGGGACAGCATAGTTTCTAAGAAAGTTTTAAGAAAAAAGTTTCCTTAAGTATATATTACTGTATTAAGGGATAAAAAAACTTGAAAAAAATTTGTAGTAGATGTATAATAGTTGAACCAATTGAAATTTTTTTATTTTTTTTTTCATTTCAGTATTTTATATCGCATTTGAAAAAAACAGACTTAAAAATCATACCAAATTTTTTTCTTATTCCTTATAACTCCCATAACAGAAATTCACTTGAATTTTTGTTTTCTGTTAATTTGGTTAATAATGACAAGCTGTCCTCATTTACCCCAAAAATTTGAAAACTCAGGGTAAATGGGGACAGCTTGTCATTATTAACCAAATTGACAAAAATCAAAAATTCAAATGAATTTCTGTTATAGGAGTCATAAGGAATAAGAAAAAAATTTGGTATGATTTTTAATCCTTTGCGGCATAGTGACACTCCTGAGTGTCACCTTTTTTCTTGCACTTTTTTGAATACTTTAGCCACTATTTTACACATTTCAATAACAAAATGTATTTAAAATGTATTTTAGAATATCTATTACAATATAACTACATTAAAAAAGTGTTTTTTATAAATAAAATAAATGTGTTATAAACAAATTAAGTTTAAAAATAGCGTTTTTTTACAATAAATTTAATTGTGACTAAACAACAATAGGAAATAACCTAACAATAATGTCTATAAAGTTTTCGGGGTCGCTGATTACGAATCTGGCATCAGATTTTCAAAATTCAAAATGGCGGATCCAATATGGCGGATGACAAAATGAAAAATTGATTGGATTTCCTTGAAACTTGTAACTCGTGGGTTTTTGGGGGCGCTGATTACGAATATGAAGTTAGATTTTCAAAATTCAAAATGTCGGATCCAATTTGGCGGATGAGAAAATGAAAAATTTATTGGAATGGCTTGAAACTTGTTACTCGGGGGGTTTTTGGGTCGCTCGTTTCGAATATGATGTTGGATTATCAAAATTCAAAATGGCGGATCCAATATGGCGGATGACAAAATGAAGAATTGATCGGATTTGCTTAAAACTTGTTATTCGGGGGTTTTTGAGGTCGCTCATTACGAATATGACGTTGGACTTTCAAAATTCAAAATGGCGGATGAAAAAATGAAAAATTGATCGGATTTGCTTGAAACTTGTTACTACGGTGTTTTTGATGTCGCTGTTTATGAATATGACTTTGGATTTTTATAATTCAAAATGATGCTTTTGTGTGTGTGTGTGTCTGTGATCAATTTGATCAATTTCAACAAAAGTGTCCGCTATATTGGATCCGCCATTTTGAATTTTGAAAAACTGACATCGGATTCGTAATCAGCGACCCCGAAAACCCCTGAGTAACCAGTTTCGAGCAAATTTAAACAATTTGTAAAAAATTGTCCGCCATATTGGGTCCGCCATTTTGAATTTTATAAAACTGACATCGGATTCGTAATCAGCGACCCCGAAAACCCCTGAGTAACCAGTTTCGAGCGGATATGATCAATTTAAAAAAAATTGTCCGCCATATTGGATCCACCATTTTGAATTTTGAAAATTTTGAAAATCTGGCTTCGGATTCGTAATCAGCGACCCTTAAAACCCCCTATAATGCACTTCAAAGATAAATTCCTGTTAAAGAAAAATGTATGCTTCAAAGGGTTAAGTCTGTTTTTTTTCAAATGCGAGAGAAAATACTGAAAGAGTTTGACTTTGATTTTCAAGTTTTTATGCATTGAGTG